TAACATTGTAGACATTCCTGTTACAAGGAATTTAGAGAGAATCTTGATAAACTCAGTCTTTGTTGAGAGAGGTATTTATCCTCCTTGTGCTTTATCCTGCACTTTGAGCCTCTGTGCTTCAAGGAAGAAGTATTTCAAAAGCTCCTTTGTATAAAAAAAGAAGAAATAGAGAAAATGTCGATAGAAGTTGGTAAGTCTATTGTAGTCATGCTGCGCAGCAGGTCCTTGACAAAGGACAACAGAATCAAATGGAGACGTGGCCTAACACAGCTTGGAAGGAGCAGGGTCCATCATTCAGCGCAAAAAAAAAAAAAAAAAAATTATCAAATCACTGGTCTACATACTGCAAATTACAAGTTAGGTGAAACCATATGTGTTTAATTCTACCTTGACATCTATCAGCGCATTGAGTCTTACTTTCAAAACATAGTGTACTAATTTAAATAACACTTACAAACCTGCTATAAATATAACCCTGTGACACACAAATATCCTTTAGTTATGAAAGTGCAAAGTGCCAGGGAACATCTGTTATCTGGGCAGCGGGATGTCTCATCTTCTTGTTGCATCAAGAAATTAGCAATCTGTGTTGTTGCTATAAACAACTTAAATCTTTTTCTTTAGAATAACATTTTTAAAGCTGGCCTAAACTGAAGACTGATTTTCCTCTGAGGATCAAACAAGCAGAAGCACACACAGATAAGGAGACATATTCTTAGAGTTATTAGAGTTATCTCCAAAAAGACTTTCACAAAATGCTGAAATTTCAGCCAGGTGTATAGTCAGAGACATGAGCTTTTTTCAAGAAAAAAAAAAAATGTTTATTTTGTTCTAATTGTAACTAGAAAATTGGAAAAATGTACTGTGTTCTAGCCAAAAGAAAAAGATTTTGCATGTAAAAAAAGTCATTCTGACTGCAGCTCCACAGGGTTCACCACACTCTAGCTCAGCTACTAAAATGTTAAGCATTCACCTAGTCACCTCAGCTCCTTCTTTAAGAAGAAGAGAGTTAGGAGGAATTCCAGAGAGCAGTTAATCTCACCTGCCTTAACTACCTGTCTTAGCATGGGATGCATCACACCCTGGGGCAGCAGAGTTTTTTCAGGCTTGTTTCTCCCTATGCCTGCTGGGCCCTTAATTTACTATGTCAATCAGGTGCATATTCATATCAAACCAGATTAAATGCCTATTATGTGTTACTATTAAAAGGTAACTGGCAAGAGTAAACAAGGGACAATTTCTGTAAAATGTGAAAAAATGTACCAAAAAATTTAAAAATACAGTATAAAACTTCTAAAAGTCATTTTGTGCGTTAAAAGCCTTTTCTAGAGTATTCAGCTGCTTTCTGATAAAAATGCAAATTGAATGCATGTATTATGGCAATATAGACTAATACAGGTACACATGCACATATACACATATTTTTATACATTCCTAAGAGATGTTAGATATTTGGAAGGCTTATAAAAATAGGTATAAAATCTATTTTTTTAAATGGCAAGAGGTTTCACACATAAGCATATACCCCCAAGTTTTCAGCATATATAAAAATCCACTGGCCATGGAGAACTAGGGGCTAAATTCATCTACGCTACATCTGACTGTAAAAATACCAGTATCGCTTGCGTTTCCTTACAGCTACGAAGTCTTGCCGAGGTCTCCATGGATCTCACCACCCTCGTAACTTTGTACTGGATTTTAAACCGGGACGACAGCGTTTGGGGCAGCCTCCACGGCTGCTGCTGCGCGCTCTGCGCTGCTCTTGGACAGGCCCACGCCGCAGCCGGCTCCTAAAGCACCATGATTTATAGCGCAGTGTTTTAAGGCAGGCCCAAATCAACGTGGGTTCAGTTAAAACGCACAACCGCACAGGGCTGCGGCCTGGGAGGTGCCGGCCGAGCGCGGGCACCGCGTCGCTCGGGCTGTCCCAGGCCGGCGCGCTGGCACCTCTGGGTCGGCACCAGCTCCCTCAGCGCTCAGCAGACCTCATGCCTTTGGTCTTGCACATCCAGGTTTATCTATGTAAACATGAGCACAAAGAAGAGGGCAACACCTATGGAAAGCGCTACGGGAGGCATCTGGAAGCATCTCATATGATACGCAAAATAACTCAGATTTTATCATGCCATGAGCGCCTCTTCTGAAACATAAGATTCTCTTTTGCCCTGTTTGGTTCCCGTGTTTAAAGAAGATTAATTGCAGCAGCAGCAATGACCTGTGAAAACCCCAAATCCAGACGAGGAATGTGCTGCTGACATCGGAATGCGGGAGGGAACCATGGGGCTCCGCTCCCGCGGCGCCTCAGAAGGCCAAGCAGAGCTCGGGCTGCCGGGCCAGGCCGGCCACCACAGGCCCCACACGTCTGGAGCACGGTGGGAATCAGCTGCACTTGTGTCCCGAAAAGCTGGGAGCAGGCACCACCAATGAAGACTTGTCCCTCACACAAAATGGCGCCTCATGCAGGCCGAATCCAGAGGTGCAAGGGTAGGTCAGCGTCTTCCTAGGCTTCGAATACCCAACTGCTGCTCTAGGAGATGCGCTACACCTCAGAAGTGTTTGCTGTTCAAGTGGAAGTTTCATTTCTGTTGCCTTTAGTTGCCATCTGCCCATACAAAACCCCAGAAGATCAGTAAGTTTGAAGAGGGAAAAGAGCAACTTTCAACCCTTAACATAAAGAAATACATATTTTGATAAAGTCCATTTGGTAACAAGACATAATAGGCAAGAAAATAATGGAGAAATACTTTTTGCTATATTCTTCACAAAAGTAGTGTCGTTGCCCTGTCTGCTTGAGGCACTAATAAGAAACATATATACCTAAAACTTAGCCTTTATTCCAGAAGAATTTCCTTTATGAATCTGAAGACAATACTTTAAAATACTTTAAGAAGTCTTAAAAATATCTTGAGGCTCTCTCTTAATTTTCTGTTACCCATTTCCCCTCCTTTTGTTGGCATATGCATAGCTTCCAGGTATCATTAAAGTCCATAACATTGACTTTTATAACACTGTGGAAATCCCATTAAAATATTTCTGTATCGTGATTGTATATGCTAATGGAGCTAAATCCAAATCTAGAATCCATGCTCATTTACAAAAATTGGTTTCTTATTTTGCAAAATATTTTCTCTTCCTAATGCAAACCTGCACAATTCATTAGTCAGAATTTCCAAAGAGACTGATTAATCCCTTACATGAAAATACACCAGGTTAAAAACAAAGTTATTGAGTGAGAATTTAGCAATGTTTCCAAACTTCAAAGTCCACAGTGGGAGAAACAAAAAAACAATATTCACTTCAACTCAGAGACCATTTATTTCCACAAGTTAACACTGGCTGTGTCTAAATTATCAAGTAGTGCGGCGCTTTGGGAGTGAATACGTGGAATTAAAGAGCTGGCATTGAAGGAGGTCGAGTTGCCGTTGCCGGAGGTTTCGCTTCGGACCAGCTCGGATGGGATGCACTGAACGCCCACAAGCGGAGCGGCATCTTGGGCGGTGCTTCCAGAGGGCTTCCCAACGGAGAGAGGGGCACTTCAAGGATGCGCCGCGACGCCCTGAGCCGAAACGTGCGCAACGGGATGGCCAGGACACGGCCCCAGACACCCGCTCCTGACTCAAACACAAACGCTAATGAGACACACGCGCTGCCAACACAAAATCCACCTCAAAATGTTTGCCTAATCGAGTTTGAAATAACACTTCAAGTCACTGTAAACAGAAAACATTTAAAGAAAAAAATATTCCGTAGTATGTTTTCCGTGTCTTAAATTACTTTTCTTTTACATCAGTTATTTCCATTTCCCTATTTCTATGAAGCTCCATCACAAAAATATAGGTAGGAAAAACATGTATAAATTTTAAGACATTTCGCTGTAAACTCTTAAAATGGTAGGAGTTATTCTGGATATATACAATACATACACAATATACAGTCTCCCTTTACTGTAGTGGTCTGGCTACTAGTTGTGCTTTTCTCCCAATTTAGGAAGTTTAATGTTGCTGCCTTACTTTCATAAAAGTTTTGACGAAACATAAGACTTACTAATAGCAAGCAGTTTGAGAAGTAGTGCATTGAATATCTAACAGAGTGATAAAAAACCTTAATCTTAAGGTTGAGTAGTCTTTGACTAACAATATAAAACAGCATTTTTAAGCATTAAAAAGCCTTAAAAATGGCTTCTATCCACAACTATTTTTAACAAAGAGGGCAAAAATTCAACTCATATTTGAGCGAAATCTCAGCTTACACATTATTCTGAAGATGAAACTTCAATTTCGTTTGATTTTATCAGTTTTGCTAGCTGCTCCCCGTTTCAGCTGAGATAAAACCAGGAAGACGGTGCTGGCAGAGCACTGCTTTCGTGGTGTTCAAAAGCCCAGTTAATTGGAACGGGCTCGAATAAAAGCCCATGGATTAGGCACATGTTCTACGCAAATCAACCAACCTGTTGCAGCTTGCCCTACACCTTACTCATAGAATAGCACTGCATTTATTGTCATGTCTGCACAGAACTTCCACTGATTATATAACCAGTCACTATCATTCATTTCTGCCTAACAATAACTATATAAAACTTTAGAAGCAGTTTTGCCTGACTGATACCTGCAGGTCCATAAGTTGCCAGATAGAAAAATACTCAGACCTCCATGGAGGCCACATTCAAATGGTTTGTTTGAAGGCAATTGCTGTATTTCCTACATATATATACACAAAAGAAACGCCAGTAAAAACAGTAATAGTTTTCAGAGTGGTAGAAACTTTAAAAGGTATGAGACTACTGCCCCAAGGCAAAAGCTACCTGCCCACTGGCAGAAATATTTGCTCTCGGAAGATGCTCCTATATGCTGTGTTGTAACAACTCTGGAGCAAAATAACCTTGGCCTTGCCACCAGAAAGGTGGTAGGAACCACTGCATTTCCACATCGATGTGCTGGTGCTCCCAGGGAGACCCAAGAAGTAAAACATGGCCCTCAGTCGGGGGGACGGCTGAAACTCAGCAGCTTTAGCTCACCCTTCCTCTGGTGAGAGTTCAGTTCCTCAGAGAGCAGGATACAGTCTTCACAGTATACCCGACTATTACTTAAACAACGCTTAAACATTTTTTTCAGTGATAATGCCAAAAAAAAAATCCTAGTTTGAAGAACCTATAGTTTGTTAAATATTACACTGTAGCAGAAGAAACAGTAGAGAGGTGTTCTCTTGTTGCTTCTGTTCTTCCTTTCTACATATAAACCCACCACATTAAGAAGCTTTGCAACATGATAAAATATAGCTCTGGTAACGGACTCATTCAGTATCCATCTCAGCTGTGACTTGCTCTTCCAGTTTGCAGAATATTAAGATGGGAAGAAAACTCCCTCCTCCTCAGGTTGAGATGAAACACCAAGTCAAAAGCTGCATTTTCAGGTACATGAGGATCATGACTTCTGGTCTTCCTCTGGTGGGACAACTTCCAAGAGGATTTGCAATATTATAGTTACTCTATCTGCAAGGGTAAAAGCAAACACAGAGGAGGTATTTAGAGGGGAGTGAAGGTATGGGCTGGGGAATAAGAAGGGAAAGCAACCAGGAAAATTATAAATCCTACTTGCACATATTGTTCATACCAGTTCATATCCCCGATGCACAGATCATTTCAGTGCCTCCCAAAAAATTCCCCTTTGAAACTATGCTTTGCCTTTGGTCCAAAGAGGTGCACACACAGTGATAGCAGAAGGATATAGAGGTATGATCTTGTTCAGTAAAAGCATACAGGTCTTCAAAGGCTAATTTAGAGCATGACTACTCTGCACAGCTATTTAGTTTTGGCAAAGCTGTAATGCATAATAACACTCTGAAAGAGCTCAAACAAGTTAATTCAGCTGTGCCAAAATCGGCAAAAAAAAAAAAAAAAAGAGAGAAATAACAAACAGAGGGAAATGACGATTATATTGCCTCCTCACAGGTCTAAGGATGTTGTGCACATGAAACAATTTCATGTTATTTGTTTGACATTTTGGACATTTGTTTCCTTTTGGTGGTTTTTTTGTTTAGAGTACCAACAGAGATTACTTTCCTAACAAAAAGTAAAAAAAAAAAAAAAAAAAAAAAAAATTCACCTACCACTCCTTTTGCTTACCACTTATTTTTTAATAACTCATTTTAAACCATCAGGAGTTACTGTAAGAGGAAGCTGTGCTTTTCCCCTGCTAGCGCTGGCACTGGTACAAAGTGGGGAGGAGGGGTGAGACACAAGCAGCTCAGAGCGCACCAGCTGAATCCACTTTCCTGCTCTCCTGCCCAACACAAACCTCACCACCTTGTGCTCTCCTCCCTGGAGCTGCCAGCCTCATGCCAGCTGGGCTGCCCTTTGGCTGATGGGGTTGGAGGGGCGATGGAGACTGCATTTTCCTGCATCGCCCTTCCCTCTGCCAGGGATGGCCGGCTGGGAGCTGGCCCACGAGGAGAGCGGGAAGCCGCCCGGGGCCGGCCCCTGTCTTCCCACCTCTTCCCGGCCCCAGGTTGAGCAACTGGAGGAGAATAAAGGAGCTTCTATCCAGCCGAGCAATGGTGGAAAAAAGTGCTGGGAAAAGGGCACAGAAAGCACGGGCTTCTCCAGAAGTGGCTGTGAGGGTATCATCCCACCGGGTCAACGGGACCGAGGCACCTGCTGCAGGAGCTGGTCCTGCCCGAGGCTGCGGGCAGGCAGCATCTCCCTCCTCCTGCGGCGCAGAGCGTCACTCAGCACCGCCACGCAGCATGAGCAAAGCAAGCCTGCACGGGCAGGCTGCTTCTGTGGTGGGGTTGTGTTGTTTTGTTTTGGTTGCAATATGCACAGAGTTAGACAGTGTCAGGAATATTTTTGGGGAAAAAAACAGATTTAGTCTCTAGCCAGGCAGTATCTCTGTACTGTCTGCTTTGAGTGGTACCTGGAGCTACACAGGACCTGCTTCTTATTTATACCAACTTAGCATATCGTGAGACTAAAAGCTGTTTTCCCTTCTATTTTAAAGCCCATTTTTCTTTTTCAAGAGGAGAAATCACTGTAAATAAAGCCCAGTGGGCAATCTTTATATATAAGAAAAAAAACCACCAACAACAACAAAAGAATGAGCTGCTATCTATGACCGCCAAATAAAGCTTGGGGAAGAAAAGAAAGCAGAAAGTGACTGGCTATGTATGAGGCTGGGGCAGCATAATGCTGAGCCGAATTCCTGTGGAGCCCAACATCATCAGCTCAGAAGAGAGAAGCAAACAGAATACGCAGTGCTGTATCCTGAATGAGCAAGGGCAAGTGGTGTGTGTAAATCACCCTTAAAGCAGCATTTTGTTATATAAACAGAAATTCTGCTTTCTAGTATCAACTCGGGCTATGAAGAAGCCAACGCTCAACCTTTAATTCTTCTCAGTACTGTCCACTATAAAATGAAGTATTTTTAAATACAAATCTAAGGTTAGGATTTCAAAGGAGTTCTGCTGCTGGTGGCATGATCTTGCACACATTGATCTACCTGATTCTGTAGGACTTGCCACACTTGATTCTTTTCACTTTCAGATTAATGTACTAGCTTGTACTAGCTGAAAATGATTTGTACAAGCTAAAATTCCTCTGTAGGAGGAAAGAACAAAAATTCCTTCTCACTGCAGGCTACCACCAGCCCTTACCCACCTCACAAACAAGGGCTTACAAACAAGTAAGTTGTTTTTCCCTTAATATACCGATGTAGTAAGAAGAATGGGCAATGCCAGTGCCATAGAAGATGGTCAAAAGATACTTTTTGTGCTGGCATGATGCTGTGTTCAGGCTAACAGGCTTTGACTTCCTTGGTAGTACTACACAAAGTGCCTTGTTCAAGTCTGAGGAGATTAGATCTATCACATCATCCTTTGTCAAGAGAAATCAGCTGTCTTCTCAAAAAAGTTACACAGGTAATCAGTCAAAAATCTGAAATATAGCCACATTTTATAGTGTTGCCCATTTACCTCAGTGTCTTTTCTAAGTTCATCTAAAGCCTGCATTTATTTTTCAAGGTTAGAATACCAAGCTTGCAGTTGCTCAGTGACTTTTGTAACCCACATCTCGCAGGGGCACCTTAAATGAATTTATCCTGATTCAATGCTTTTGAAAAATGCTCTCAGGCTATGCAGTGGAGCAGCCTTAACTTGCACCCTTTTTTTTTTTTTAATATATATAATGACTCCATGGAGAGCATTTATTGCTTTGTTATTTATCAAGTGGATCACCACCCTTCTCCACCCCAAAACTCTCAGTTTCAAATTTCTGTCATTACTGCTGTTATTTGGAGAATAATAATTACAGAGAAAACAGGTTGTTTTACCCACTGACTGGTGTCTGTTGCTTTCCCCTCAGAGCCAGGACAGTGTGTCCCTATGTATTTCACGGGCATCTGGCCTTCTTTCTAGGAGAAGGGTTTTGTGTTATCTAAAGAGCTGGAAGATTTTGCTTTGCTGTCACATCTGGCAGAAAATCCTATGTATTCAGTCTACCTTAAAGAGAATATTTTTTCTCTCACCCAAGGAATGCAGTTCAATACTGGCATCCTGTGGCCAGAGATTCGAGTAACTGTTCCCAAACCTCTGAGATTTCACAGAAAGTGCTAAAAAATATCTATTGGGTTTGATAAGGGAATATTCTCTATGCCTTAAATATCAAGGCTGAAAAATTAAAAGCAAGTACATGCTATTTAAGGTAATGCCTTTTTTGCATAAAACTATTATCATTTGCACTGAAACTTTCTACCATCTACATTCCACATAATATACAGTCAAATGGATTTAAAATGAAGGAGGCCAGAGTTTACTGACTGTATATTGACTAAAATCATTTATGTATTTTCTGTCCTATTGTCTATGGACTTTCCAGCATAACACAATACATCTCCTAAGTATATTCATACAAACACATATATATGCTATAAAATTTAGCTCTTTATTTATATACACACTCCTATATTATTTTATTGTGGGCAGTGCATTTCAAAACATCCTTTACTCAATATTAAAGCACAGAAGACCATTCATGTGTTTTTAATTCAGCAGCTTGTATAGAAATTTTTGTTGAAAACTCATAGTTTTGACTTTCATTTTGTTTCATCTTGTAGCAGCAAAGATTTTCTTTCTGTTTTCACAAATTATTCACCATTTCTTAAATATTTTTTAAAATTTTGCCTATGTTTTCATTTCTGTTTTGAAAATTACCTCCATTTTGGTAAGTTCACATTGTGTTGAGTGACAAGAAAGAGAGAAAGGATGAGCAGTTGTAATAGAGAGTGCTGATTATTTTTTTCTCTCTAACTGAAATGCTTCGAATAACTTCTCCAACACATCTGCGCTTTCACAAATGCTTTTACCAAACTCTCAGAAATGGCATGAGAACGAGTCTCAGTGCATTTCAGGTATCAAATATTATAGCTAAGTCCCTCAGAAGTCATTTTGCCAGGAGACACAGACAGAGTTTCCACACACGTGTGCCAGCTGCAGTGGATTTTGTCACCCCCACCTTTTCCGAAGCTGTCACTAACGCAGATACCCCCCGACCGAGCTTGACCACCCCTGTCCCCTGTCAGATTTCCCCTGTGGCCCACACATGCGTGGACCCAAAGCGAGCGTGGAGCCAGTGCTGTCATCGCAACCGTGACATTCGTGTTTCCAAAACGTTTCCCTATCGGGAAATACCTCCTCTATTAGCACAGGCAAACGGCCCAGGGAAGGAAGGTCATTGCGTTAACTGGAATCAGCCTTTCAGGGAAGGGGAGGCGAGAAGGGAGCAGAGAGAGATAAGCAGTCACCTGAAGTGACTTTTGCTTGGGAAAAACACCAGTCAGGTTCCTAGCTGAAGGCCCAGGCTGCTGTAAACCTCCCTCTTTGGTAGCTGGCACTGGCTGCAGTGACAGAGCAGCGCCGCAGCATTCCCCGAGGAGGGACGTGCACCGGCCCCCGCAGCAGAGCGGCTTGTGGAGGGGCTCTCACCATACCCCCGCTTCCCTGAACGATTCCCAGAGCTGGCCAGGAGGAGGGCACTTACCCAAGAGCTTCCTGAACCACTTTGGCTTCTTGTCCCATATGATAAAGAGGTAGTAGGCAGGGACTCCAGTCAGGGTTATTGCAAATCCAATCCCAGTATTGACTGGATCAGAGTAAAGTGACAGTGCAACCATGAAGAGACAGGTGAAAGAAAACAGTGCTGGTATAAACAGAGGTACCTGAAAGAGAACCACACAAACAACCGTTACTTTATATTGACCTCGTTACTGAATGACAGCGGCATTTAATGTTCCATGTTCTCTATACTGGAGAAAATCCAGCATCACAAGAGAGTTCTGCAAAAACACAAGTATCTAGAACATCCCTGCAAAATCCAAGCAACTGCAAAAATAAAATTAAGCAGAGGGCTATGCATTAAGCACTACCCACTCTTTTATACCGTACTATTTTTCATCCTTTAAAATGTAAGGTCTATAGATATGTTGTATTACAAAAGTATTTTCTCTAATCCTCCATCAGGTAAGTAAGAAGCACTAACTGTAGGGAAGATTTCCTCTTTTGTAATTACCTATTAGAAAACATTTTAAAACACAGCAAGGAGCTCAAGTCACCTTTTAAAACTATTAAGAACATATTGATTTTCTTCCTAAGGTAAAAATCAAAATCTGGCAGGAGGAGAGCAAATTAAACACCATTTGATAAGTGATAAAGATATTTGATAGTGTTATGCAACAGATAGCTACTGAAAAAGCACTTTCTGACAGTATGACTGATGGCATTATCAGTGTCAGTGTACAAAACACACAAAAAAGCAGCAAAATCAAATTAATTCGCGCCATTTTCAAGGACATCACTGCAATCACTAACTCAGCACCCCTGTGAAGGAAATGCCTGTGAGCATGGCTTCTGAGATGCTTCGTGTAATGCAGAACTGGCAAATTCCTTGGAGATTTTTCCCTTCATTTCATGCCTTGAAGCATTACTGTTCTTTTGTGCGCTGTCAAAGTGTTTTTTTAATCAAAGCAAAATGGGTTGTGCCATTCACCTTCCTACGTGCTGGTATGTCTACAAGAATGCAGCAGTGCACACAGTCTCCATCCTCTGTACAACACACTCCATGGCTCTATGTATAAACAGGGTAAGATCCCTCCACTGTGTTCACGATGGACACTATCTTCCCATACACACAACAGGACACTTGACTTTGTAAGGTGCTCCTCACAATAAACAAGAGCAGCAGCAGAATCAAGGCCAACGTGACTATTGTGCTGCTGGCCAGACTATTAGCATTTTCTTTCTGGGTTCACAATAAGGGTGACAGCAAATCAACTGGGAGTCCCAAATATCACAATGAAAGGGCTAGCAACTTATTTGCACATGAAATTGGCATATTCTATATTGGACAGACAATGTAAGTGAAAGATAAACGTTTAATATTAATGCTTATGCCTGACGTGAATACTGGAGGCAAAATTAATCAGCCTTTTTACCAGGGCAGATGTTAAATTGAGGACTGGCTGAAAATCAGGTTGGCACATGTCACCCTAATATTTGCAATGTAAAGCCCCCATGAGTATTTAGGACTTGGGGCATTTTCACAGAGCTTGTTAGAGTATAAAGCCCTCAGCTTGCCTCACACCGCCGCAGCATGATGGGCAGGCAAAACTGAGCAAACATCTTCACTTTCACACAGCCACCTCAAGTGCTCCCCACTGCCACCAGGGAGTCGGAGTGAATTCTCCTTCCAGAAGACAACTCTGCCAGGGTAACCCTGGTGATCTTGCAGGAAAGCACAAGGAGACTCTTCAGCGTGAAGGACTGTTTTCTATTAATTCTGCTTTTTGTGAAAAGGAGGTTAACGTTTTATCAGAAAAGGCTCCTTTACTGTCTGGCTACACAATAGATACAAGGCAGAAGGATTCATGTAAAACAGGCGAGAGCGGAGGTTACCTTGAAAGGACGAGGCATATCGGGACGTTTATATCTGAGATAAATCAACCCAGCAACCGCTAGTCCAATAAAAAGCCACCTGGCAAAACTGAGGAAATTCAGGAGGCTGTAGAGATCCCCGTTGAACAGCATGATCATCGTGAGAGGGTACTGCAAAAGAAGTTCAGAGCATCAGTGAGCTGCGCTGGCGTGACCTCTGATATTTCACGGTGGTGAGCTCAGGTCTTTCCACGGGGACAAGCACTGCAGCCTTTCCTGAGGGCTCCAGACTTCAGGTATGGGATCAACACGCAGCTGAGGTGGCCGTCTGTCTTGGTGAAGAAGACGGAACCACCTCGGCCCTCCAGGGAGACAGAGTGAAGGGGGACCAGCTGGGTTAGCTCCACGCCATGGGATGCTTAGGGAGCCCACGGCGTGGACACTAGCCCGCATCTGCAGCGCACCTTTCAGGTTCGCAGGGCGCAAGCAAAACCGAAACGCAAACCTGTGCAAGCAGAGGAGCGTTTAGCTGTCACTCAGGAGGCTACCGAAGAGCAGGAAGGGGAGACAACACAAGGATAAACACAGCTCATCATTAAAAACGTGTTCCGAGACACGCGAAGCATCGCTGTGAGCAGGCAAGAGCTTATGGATAAACTCAAGCGTTGTACCTTGAGTTAGGTGACTTTTATAGGCTACATGGATAGATTTTGGATAGATTTGGGGGTAATCTGTGCACAAGAGGTGAATATTTAAAGCCAGAATCAACTATGAAGGGCAGTCCACACTTGACAAACGAGACATGTTGTGTCTGAAAAGACACAGCCCTGGCATCTGTGGACGAAGCACCAAGTATCCTTCGCCAGAGCCTCGAGCTCAGAGAATGGAAGATCCAGTGGTGACAGCCTTGGTAGGTTTATCACAAGGCAGCTGGGTAAAATCCACTGTGGACATAGCAGAAAGTATGGCTAAATCTTTATGTCAAAAAAATTAACTTGTATTAGTTGTTTTGAGTCGAAGTCTTGCCCACTCTCCTCCTCCTTCCCTTTTTTTCCCCCTTTTTTTTTAAGTAGTGAAAACAGCTTTCAAAATCTAATGATGTACTTTTTTTTTTTTGGCTCTTTCCCCTCAGATATTAAACAAACCTCTTCCCTGTAAAGGTTGACAGAAAATTTACCACTGGCATATATTGGGAGGATTTCTTCTATAACAGTCTCAGGTGCTAGAAGTTTTAAAGTTCAGCCATAAGCATGATAATGTAACAAGGGGCCACGGACATTGAAGGAGAAAAGAAACAAAATGGTATTACAATAGGGTAGCAAGGTTTCTTAGAGTTGCTCATACATCTATCAAATATCAGCATGTAGGTAATACTCAAATTTCTGAAATCCTAAAGACTTTTCTAAAATTTATTTTCCAAGCTTAAGCTTGGAAAAATGCATATGCTCATCTTCTCGTGAACTCTTTCTATTTTTACAGAGTTTAGGCCTGTGAAGGAGAAATAAAGCAAGAAAATGCTAAAATGAAGACTGTCAGTCCAGAATATATCTGTAGCTATTCTACAGCTGAACGCCAGTCCTCCTTTCCCATTCTCTGCCCTGCCCAAAGCCCAGATCTACATTAATAAATGAGACTCGAGCGGTGCCCAGATTGTTCCTGAATGCTCTGGAGCAAGGCTGCAATGTGAGTTCTTGCACGGGAACATTTGTTTGCACGATTTACCAGAACGATGACAGCTGGCAGAGGGGTGTGCTTGCGGACATGAATCATGGAGAGGATTTCCGGAAGGTGACCCTCGCGGGAGGCAACGAAGAACATCCTGGGGGGAAATAAATGCGGACAGACTTTAAATGCGCTCATTACTGTGACTAGGCAAAGCAGCTCATGAAAGTCACAGAGCACAGCAGTGCTTCTGTGGCCTGTCTGAGGTGTTTGGAAGGAAGAGAGTAACAGGAGGAGCCTGTATGCAAAATCAAAGACATCTCTGATATCGTGTCCCCCTCATGTCATTATAAGTGTTTCAAATGGCTTAGTATTTTCCCTCCAATTCTCCTCCTTTGTCTGAACTAAAGGGGCCATTAAATGCTAAACACCAAGGGATCCATTTTCTAACTGTTCAAAGGGTTTCAATAATGTGATGTTAGAACCAGCAGGAACCAAAAGGGAGAAATCCTCGCAGATAGGAAACATTCCAGTCAATTTTCATTTCCTGATAAAAGCATGAATCCTCTTTTCTCTTCCTCTTACTTCCTTACACCCCTAGGTACATCCCATGCCTTTCAACCCCAGCAATATTAGCATTTTCTCACCTTGAGACAGCAAAGACGCCACCATTCATAGAGCCAAAGCAGGAGAGAGCAACAAATACTGGTACAGCTAAAGAAAAGTTTCCCATTAAACGTTCAGCAAACGTCTGTTAGAAGAGAAAGAAATATACAGTGATTTTTCCATCACAAAAAGTTGTCCCGTGTGTTTGACACACCTCTCCCTTTTTTGTGACACCAAGGTGACACAAGGCTTACCGAGCACCCGGCTGCATATGGCAGCCTGCCAGCTGTGGCAATGCTGCAGAGCTGGAATCAGCCCTAATTTAGGTTGTTTTAAGATATTATTATTATGACTTCCAAGAGACTTAAACCTTGATCTGAAAGTGTCAAGTTCTGATCTGTATACCTAGTACCTTTTTCTGTAGCCTTCCATTTACTTAGCTGGTATCGTCCAAAAATATCTGCCACCCACATACATTTCACTGTCCTATGTTACTGTAGAGCCTCAATTTAGGTTCGGGGCACCGCGAGAGATCTGCTTAATTTTTCCGAGGTTTGCAAAATGCTTTGCTTCTCCCAGGGGCTACAGAATTTGGTCATTTTTTAAATGCCATATCAATTGGAAAAGCCACAGCGGTGGCTCTACTGGAAGGTACATGCAAAATTTTATTTCCTCACTGCAAGTTGGATAGCATGAATATAAAAATCAGTGTCAACACCATGAGTCAGGAAAAACCATCAAAGCAGCATTTCTGAGCCAAGCTGCCTTGCACCAACCCCCTTCCTATTGACTCAGGACACACATGGTGCCAAGACAACTCTGCTGCTTTTTGCTACACAAGTAAGTGCAGACCTTACTTGCACTACCTCAATCCTGCTGTGCTGTCTGCTTCCCGAGAGGTCAGCCCACAATTTAGGGGATAATTTTTCAAGTGTGAACTTGGCTGTGCATTTAAGACCCACTGACTTAGTTATCTTAAGTAAAGATGGGCTAGCATTACATTATAAATACTATCAGTGGCCTTAAGCGCAAGGCTTCATTCATCAGTAAAGAACCAACTAAGCTCACTTGGGTGCTATTGCAAAAGAGAAGCCATACAAAAGTCTGACTGGATTTTGCCCACTGTTTTTTTTTTCCCTCAGAAATAAAAATACATCAACAAACAAAAGTGCAGCAGAGAGAGAGCTTTGCATTTTTTTTTCTGTAACTTACCACTGCTACAGCTTTTGAAAGCAGCAATTCCCCAGCACTGATCGTAGTGAAATAAGCCACGTTTGTTAACACATAGCCAACTGTGACGATAATCATCGAAATGCATATTGCGAGGGGTATGTTTCTGAAAGACACAAGGTCGCTCATTATTTGGCAAGCTGGTTGCTATTCCCTGAACATGAAACAAATAACATGAGAAGAAACCACTAATGACAGTGAATGCATATTTAGTGATCCAGAAACACCGCAGTTAGAAATGACCTGTGAACAGTGCATCTAAACCAAACCACGTGGACAAGGCTTTATGACCAAGATGCTGTGAAAACCGCTCTGGAGAAGGGGAGCCTCTGGGGATGGAAAGGGGTCCCAAGTCTCCTAGACAAAAAGTACTGCCCACCTAAGAGGTCTGTCTCACCTTACAGGGACACAGAAGAGCAGAATATGCCCCACAAAAAGAGCAGGGCAAATTTTCACTTCTAATACCTTAGCTAAGAGACCAAGAAACAATAATACCCAAATAAATAATAATGCCTAACTTCTATATTTTATGTCCTCCCAGATGGAGGACACAAATATCAGACAGATGCACAGTGAGGTACAGTAAATTTATCTGATGTCATCCAACGGGCAGCTGTTCAAATAACATTGCCTCTGAGGAGAGACAGGGAGCTGGGCCCCTTCCCTTCAGATGACTGCATTAAGATCGCTGTTGAGGGCAGGCAAAGATGTGTGCTGCATCTACATCTAGCAACTCTGTCTGATCAAGGAAGAGCAGGAGAGAGAAACGAGAAATACCAGAAGAGACACAAGAATCCCAAAGGAGGCTCCTAGTTAGCTGAAGGGAGACGGTTACTGTTGGAACCCGGTGTTATGATCTACTGTTTATTGATTTTTTTTCCCTCAAAGAAATACAACTGGTTCAGGGCATAAGGATCCTCTTCACCACTAGTCCCTATTTCTCAGAGATACCCTTGACATAAGGATGCCTTTATACAGCTGAAAGGGAGCTGTAAACTGAGCTTATAAATAAATAAAAAAAGCGGCAGCAACATCACTGTGGCTCATCATGCCCACCTTAGAAACTGTGGTGTCAAATAGTATATTAACCCAGACACACATTAGGAAAGATGTTCGTACAGCAGTATCAGATCCAGGGAGACACCGCATTAACCCTATGCTACCTCAAGCCCACTGTTTCGGGAGAAGCAGCTGGAAGGTGGGCAGCCTACCACACTATAGGATGCACTTGTTGATGGAGCTTTAAGGATGTCAGTTCTCTCCATCCAATTTAGGAGGCAGTTCCCAGTTTGCAAGAGAATACTATTATCACACTTCCCGCTATGAACTACAGTCACAGCACCAGCATAGGCAACTGATGTCATCAACATTAAAGATTAGCTCCTTTCCTTAGAGGATCATGGCACCAATTTTCCTATATTTTATATATTCCTAAAATATTCCTAGTTTTCAGCATTTCTTCTCAGAATGAGATCTCTTCAGATTTCAAAATCAAGAAAACGTGTTTGCAGATTGGGTGGGTTTTGAGTAGAGCTTCAGGTGCTGGTGCTAGTGCCAAACCCATAAAACATTTCACACTGTCCTTTGCATTACTGCCAAAACGATGTGCAAGCTGGCTGCTATAAGGCTCTGGTACAAGCAGAAGCACCTATCGGGAAGATCTTTTGCAACATTTACCTCTTCTCCCACGACTATTAAAAAGATCAAAATTCTGAGGAAATCTGAATCACAACAATATGAACAATATAATTAAAATCACAGGAGAGACAGCTAAGGTAGCTTCTAAAGAGCTGAATGTTGCTTAAAACTGAATGAATCTCTACCCATTTTAAAATTTCTCCCCTACTTACTACTCATGGCTGCTGCCTCCCTTTCTGACCTACATACAAAGCAATTCTAATGATGCATCATGACAGCTTAAATAAAAGGCACATCTACCTTGTGCTTTCAACAGGTCACTGAGGCATCTACCATCATAGAGAAATCTGGCATTAGGAATACAAGCCTGTATGGGGCTGCAGTGCATTCCCACGCACTACTAAGCACTGCTGTATGGCTTGCAAGCAAATTTCCTCCTTCTTGAGTCTATCAAGGATCCTGGAGCCAGGGCTCAGGGTTCAGTTAATCAGGATGTCCACTGGGCTTTGGATTTGACCTTAAGTGTCGCAGAATCATAGATCTTTTGATAATCTGGTGCTGCACTACCTCCTGCGAATATTTTTGAGAAACGCAGAGAGAGAACCAAGCAAGGAAGCAAGCGAAAAAAAAAGAAAAAGAAAAAAAAAAACAGTAGAGAACCTGAGGGCAAGAAGAACAATATCAATAAATCAGCAGAGGAGCATTCCCAGAAGTCTACAGCTCATATCCCAGCTTAATGACAAGTTTTATAACAAGAAGCAGTAAGTGTTAAGAGCTGTGACCACTGCAGGCTGATCTTTCCATGAAACGACAAGCGCATGGTCAGAATATGCCCCAAAGACTGAGCCGAGTTCACAAGCATAAAATGCATCATTCCCACGTCCTTTGTAGTTTAGCAGCCATCACAAAATCAGTTCCTTGTATTCACTTTAAATTGGGGTTTTATAAATGTGCAGTCCAAGTCTGCTGTCCTGGGAAAAACTGTGTCAATGAGACCCAGGCAAGAAGTTAAAGGCAACAGAATATGAACTACTGGGGAGTCTAAAGAAACAACTATTTGCAGGCAAAGTTAGATTAGATAAAACACATCCTCCTCGTATTGGCATAATGGTGAAAGATAATTTTTGTTATATTTAAATAAATACATAAACAAGTATATTACAAATATATAAACACGTATTAATATATTTATATATAAATATAAGTAAATATAATGTATTTTTAATGGAAAAAGGAGAGAAGAAATGTCCTGATTTCTTCACATGGCTTCCAGAAACAGCTTTATTTGCTTTTCATGAACCTTAGGTTCTGTATCTTTTTAGTTTGCCGAAAATTCACCACCACAGGAGTTTCAAGATCCTTCTCAAAAGTTCCCTTGTGCAATAATTTATTCACCATTTGCAATCTGTTAAGCAATTTTCCAAGCAAACTGTTCCCAGAATTTGGCACTCTTAAAACCTAATTATCTACTGCACAGTCCATAGGGTCAAAGCTTGGTTGAAGAAGCTACAAGTCCAAATTTATCCAAGTAACCTTATGTGCAAGAGAAAAAAATACAACACACAAGGCAGCAAGAAAGCCTTAGTAATTCAAAAATCCCAGGGTTTCAGTGCCTGACCAGAAGATGTACAGCCTTGGTTTGGTAACTACTGTGCTTTATTTCTCTAGGCCTTCCCTGGTGGTCATTCTTCCTGTACAAAATAAACAAGGTGAGCTAAGGAAATTCTGAACCCTGGACAACAAAACAGGATTTTCCATCATAAACTTCCCTCTGCCACATGTTTTTCATGTGAAAAGTGGCCTATAGGACAACTCATTTCAGTGAGGCAATCGAATGGTTCCCAGCAAGTCAGACTATGAAAAAATTACAATCTTCTAACCCATCTGTTACAAGAGAGAAGGTAAAGTGGAATTACTATTTGTGGGCTTGCAACTCAGACACTACTAAATTGTGTGGTTTCTCTTTATCTTCTTTTGATTGTGATTTTCCAGGGTAGGAATGAAAAAAAGGAAAGCCTGCCCATTAAGGTATGCTCTCATTTACACCACCGCATGCTCCATGAATGTTACTGCCAGAGTGAGAGTTGAAGGACCCCAGTTCTCCTCTTCCATGCGTTGGTTCTGTGCCTTTGACTTTGCCAGATACAACAGCCACTGCCATAACAGAAGGAAGAATGAGGCCGTGTCCTGCGTTTAGTTTGCTTCTCATTTTCTATCACCTGGCAAGAGGAGGAAAAGGCTTCTGCTGTGTCTAATTACTTGCTTTCTTCCTAGTGTTTGACTTCAATGGTTTGGATTAGAATTGGTTACACTTCATAAAAGGGGTCCTCTAGGAGCACCTGACTTCAAAGGGTCAAACTGTATTATAAACGTGCTGGGAAGGGCAGTAAATTTCATTAACTTCTCAAAAGTTTCCAATACCTTTTCCAGCAGGGTTCCCCCAAAAAAGTGAATTAGCGTAAATCCGCTCCTGGCTACAGCTTAAGACCTAGACAGGTACCAAGTATAGGGATTAACACTGTCCACCACAGCACCTTCTAGCTGCAGTGCAAAACAGAAGCAGATCTGCCAAGATCCTCAAGATCAACTGTTACATTCAGTGTGATTTGTTTCATTTTATGTCAGATTTGAACAGATTTATAGAGATTTGAGCTTGGCAACTCAATGTCCCAACTCTGCTTGGTTATCTAAACTGCACTCGAAATCAGGTGTTCATTAACATCACAGTCCAGGACCTAACTTGTTAAACGTTATAAAACATCTTTCTTTGAAGAGCACCGGACCGAACTCATTAATCTGAAACGTGGAATACAAACCAATAATACAAGAAGTCTCACATTCAACAAGATCCTGAATCTTTCTGCATGGAGTGCGAGTTTTCCCAAGGAGAATTAGGACAATATAGCAGTTATTGAAAATAACAGTTAAATCCACAAAATAACACCGAGATTACAACACCAAACGTTAGACACACTATCTCTGCTTGGCCACACCACACTGCTTGCACAGCTAGTGCCTAAGGACTGTTAAGCACCAAAACGTAGTAAGCACAACAGGCAGCGCACAGAGCTGCGGAAACAATATTAAACCCAAGGAAAACAGGGGCTTTATTTTAAAAAATACACCTTTAAAATTGAAATTAAACACAGACTTAAAACATTAGATGCACATGACCCCCTGCAACTTCTCAATTAAGTCTTTGATGAACCACTTCCATACGTCCATCAAGCACCAGTGTCAAACACCCTCTGATTACCTCCATTGTGTCCTGATAGTACAAAGTTCACAACAGTTCCCAAGAGACATATGAATATTTAGACCCAGCTTTACTGTGCACTGTAACTTGACCCTAAATGCCAGCAGCAGAGCTGGGATGGAGGTGGACACCGCCTGCATCTGTCCGTATTTCTCCTGTCTTTGCCGAGAATATGTGTCTCTGATTTATGGAAGGGCAAATGGCACAGTGAC